AAACCAAAACCAAAAACCCCCAAAATTTCAACTTTAAAAAAAAAAAAAAAAAAAAAAAACTATAATAACAGTTGGAAAACAAAAAAATGTGAACACCGTTGTGACAACAACGCGTCGTATTTCCTTATTACACGGACAACGCTATGGAAAAGGAGAAACTGAAGCATTTCACGGGGAATTGGCCAAATGTGCAAAATCTAAAAAGAGAAACACGGAAAATCGACAACATTTTTTTTTAATTTTTATTATATTTTAGCGCGATTGAAGGAAGAGTGGATTTGACTCTTACCTGGCCATGATTAATCATCCGATCATTCCCAACTAACGAGAGGTTTTTCATGCTCTTTTTTTTTTTTTTTTTTTTGGAAGAGAAAAATGGTACTAGTAGAGTGAACAAGACTTTTGAATTATGAAGTCGACGATTCACAATCATAAAAATTATTATCACTAACTATAATTTAAATTATAGCATAAATTTTTATATTAAAAACTTACTATTATTTTTATTATTTATTATTATAATTTTATTTTAATTTAGTTCATTTATTAGATTCAAACTTTTAATTTTAATTTTATTACAATTTAAATTATAACACGAATTATTATATTAAAAATTTATCATCATTTTTATTATTTTTTTTATTAAATTAAAAAAAAATTACATAAAATTATATCTAAATTTAAATTAAAAATTTAAATCTATGCACTAAACTAAATTTAATGATATATAACCAGATTTGATGAGGTAATATAATGAATAATGTACCCAAAAAAAAAAAGATATATAGGAGTTAGAAAACAAAGATTTATATATGACACTACGTGTGGCGCTATATGTTTGTCGTTGAATAGTTCCACGGAAAAAGGCCGTTGAGATAATTGGACGTTGGAAGTTTCCGAGAAACTTCGCGCCCATATTCTTATCATTTTAAAATGATACTTAATTAAAAAATTTAAATCATAATTTAAATTATAATTTATAATTTATTACAGTATTTTTTTTATATAATTTTAATTTATAAATTAAATGATTCTTAAAATAAATATTATATTAATATTGGGCGATTGAAGAGTGGCCCTGGTGGTCTGAACGGCTCAGTTGGTGGCCAACATGTTTATATGCGGATACCACTAAGTATAAGTCATTTGCATCACGTCGTTGTAGCCAACAATAAACATCTGTCGCCCACCCTAGGGCCCAGTTCCCACCGCGAAATCAAGCTCTGTGGGCGTAAAGTGGAGGAGGCGGAGGAAAATAGGTTACGATTTGAGTTGAGAAGAATCTTGTTCATTTTATGAATTTAAATTTTCAATTTAAATTAAGATATGATATTTTTTAAAAATTTTTAATTGTAATAAAAAAAATAAAATGTGATATTTTAAAAAAAAATTAAATATAAAAATTAAAAATTAAAAACTCAAATTGGTGAAATGAACGAGACTTAAAATTGATAGACTGAGATTAATTTTTTAAAATACTCTTTAAAATGAAGTTTTTTTATTTTTATTTTTATCTCTTAATATTCGTTTATGTATTTTTATTTTTTAGACTAAAATTAATTAAGAGGTAAAATTTTTTTAAAAATGATATTTTTAATAAGTCATCTACTTAAAAAGGTAAAGTAATTTTCTCACAGTCTAATGTTTAAGAGAAGTAAGACCCCGTTCATTTCACCGATTCGAGTTTTGCTCTTAGAACAGTCGCATCTTACTTTTTTACTACAGTAAAAGGCTCTCACATAAAGTCACATCTCAACTCGAATCAATGAACTAAACGGGCCCTAAATAAGTCAATATGATATAAATCCATATTTACAAAACTTGAAATTCTAAAAATACCTTTAAATGATATTTTTCCTACCTCCTACTCTCTTACAACATCACTTTTAATGGTAAATCTCCTAAAAAAAAGAATCATGAATTTATCAAGTTAGTATCACTTGAAAAAGAATACTACAAGTTAGCAGCATCTTTTTTAATGGTAATTACTAAATATACTTGGTAAATCCCAGATTTATTAAATTAGAATCACTTGAAAAAAAAAACATTACAAATTATAATGATAAATCTTGGATATATTTGATAAATTCATAATTTACCAACTTAGCATCACTTGAAAAAGAACACTACAAGTTGGCAACATCACTTTTAATGGTAATCCTAAATATATTTGATAAGTTCAGGATTTACCAAGTTAGCATTATTTTTTAAGAACCGTACAAATTTTAATAGTAAATCTTATATATACACGAGAAAGATAAAGAGTAATTAAAGAAAGAGAACAAATAACAGAAGATTGTGAAATAAAAGGGAAAAAAAGAAAGGGGAAAAAATAGCAAGAAAATGGTAAAATTGAAAAAAAAAAATTGAAATGGCTTGGATACATTGGTAAATTAGTCATTTACTTCCATAAGTTTCAAATGTAGGCTTATTTCCTATAATTTTTCTTGATTTTTTTGGGTTTGAACTTATATGTGAATTTTTTGTGGTTCAAACTAACGTTTGGTAGTGTAAAGTCTAATAATAAAAATAAAGTTTGAATCAATGTTTAGTTACATTGCTAGAACTAATGGCATGTTTACTTATCCGTAATCAGGAGTGGACATGATTCGGAGTTGATAAGAATCGGAGTCAAAATAAGCTGTTTACTTAGGTTCCAGGAATCAAAGTCGAAATCAATCCTAATTTCATTCGTGCATTTACTTATACCCAAAATCAGAATAAACTGTTATAAATTTACTTACCTATCCATTTAATAGATTTTTGTGTGTTGAACTTTTAAAAAAATTGTATATTATGCTAACTATCTTAATATTATGATAACTAACTAGTAATTAAATTTTTTTAATCACACCTCATTAATCATCTAAATTATTTTTTTTAATAAATTTTGACTCAATTTGAAAAGAATATGATGATGACATTTCTAGCATTTTCAATAATCCAAAGCACCGCTCAATAACATTCCCAGCACTCAATGCTTCATGTTGAAAAACTCTTTTGCCGAAGTTGGTTGGTTTCCATTGTTAAACTCACTTAAATGGTAAAGTTGTCTTCTAAATGGTGTAAGAAAACCTCTCTTCTCACATAGAAGCTTGCATAATCTTCTAAACGTTTCTATATTCATTCTTAATTGTGCCACACACTTGATATCACTCTCATAAACCAAATCATACAAGTGACCTAATTGTTGATAAACCCTTATAACCATATTTGGACTTCATATCATTCGTTCATAATAAATAGAAACACAGGTACACATAGCAGCACACACAGTCATAATCATTTGTAACATCGTAATTATTTCTTTTATCATCATAACTACCCTCTTTTTTTTGTGTTAAAAGTCGAGACACAATTACTCTACATTATTAACATGGATAAAAATGAGTTGAATGAAAAGTACTTTAGATTATAACCCAAAAAACTTAGGGAGAAGAAAGGAAATAGTGGCAGCTAGGAGAGGAATAAAAATTAATAAGCCAAGCTTTCAAATTAGTACAAAAAACGGAAAAACAAAAAATTTAAAACTAAACATGGGCTATTATTTTTAATCTTTGGTAAATGAGTTATTTACTTTCAAAAGTTTAATGTTAGCCTACAATTTCCCGCAGAATTAATGTTGAGGTTAATTTTAATGCAAGGAAAAATTGTAATAAATAAAAAGAATAATTTGGTGGGAGGATTAATAAATTTCGTGAGTCATGCACACCCCTAAATATAGGGATACCACAATTCCAAGCCTTCGACTGTCTTATACCCAAAAAAAAAAAAAAAAAAAAAAAAATTGTAGAGAATGACAGATGGGATGCAAAATATACCCTTAAGATACGAGAAGGTATCCACAATGACACTGCTTGATGTTATTGATCGTGATATCAGTATTCACCATGATACTAACACCAACTGTGATATCAGTATCCCGCTGTTATACCATTGGATTACACCCTCATCAGCCCCATCACCATCACCAGCAGAAGAAGAAAAAAAAAAGGTGTTTGCACACCTCAGCATCAGAGGACGAGAAGACAATTTCATCCAGATGATCCGGATAATCTTTGGATTTTCAAAAAGACTGAGAATTCATCCACTCAAAACCCTTCACCATCACCACCACCGGAATACTTAATTGTATACACACACACACACACAAAAAAACACACACAAAAAAACACACACAAAAAAATCCAGATAATAAACAAAATTATGAATAATAATAATAATAATAATAATAATAAAAAATAGAAAATGTTTATGAAATGCGGAAAAAAAAAAATACATCTACTAGGTGGTGACTAAAAGTGCTGTTCGCGGGTGCTGTTACGACCTTCGAAAAACACCACAAGCATTGGATCTGGCAAGAGGTGGTGCTGCAGTAAAATCTGCCGTACAACAAACCATTTGTGTGAGCCTCACAGATCTCGCCTCGTTCTAATAATCTTTGGCGCGGAGATACACCACCAGACGGAGCTATAAGATCCTCCCATACATGAAGTTGGAGATCACAACTACGAGCTCTGATTTGGACTTCATTTGTTGGACAAGGAAGAATTTGGAAAACAAAAATCACCCGGAACTCGTTTAAAATTCGTTCTAAAATGATTTTATTTTTTATATGAAAATAAAAATATTTTTAATCTCAGACAAAATTTATTTTTAAAAATGTGTTGAGTAATTTTATTAAGAGATTATTTTCAGTATAAAAAAATATATTAATGTCTTTCTCTCTCTGCTCAAGAGAGAAAAAAATAAAAATAATAAATGAAAAATGACTAAAAATCGTTTTTCATTTCTCTTTTATTTTACACTAAATCAAAAAAATCATTTTCATTTTTATTTTTTATCTTTATTACGCCAAATGCCGATTTAAAAATATTTTTATTTTTTCTTTCTCGAAAAATGTAAAAAATAAAAACAGAATCAATTTTAAACACGGTCAAAATGTCAACCAATCTCCAACAATGTATCAGATCTTTGGTGAAGTCATGCAGAGAAGAAACTGAATCTGGTTCACACTGAACAAGAACGTGACAGGGGAATTGAGGCGGCTGGAGAAGAGAGAGGGAGAGAGTGAAAGGGGAATGTTGGAGAGAGAGAGAAAAGAGGGAGAGAGGGAAAAAGAACCTGACCTTAATCAAATTTGAGGGCATTTTGATCCTCTTAACCTCATATTTGCTACAGCACGCGGCAGAAAAGCTGAATGTTTACGCAGCTGTGGTAAATGTCAATTCACACCTAAAACTCATCGCATTTCCCCTACATATCTCCTAAATATAACCGTATGACAAGTCTAACAGAATGCAATTATGCAACCATCAAAGATCTTTGCTTAAAACAAAGTCAGGATCTACTATTTTGTGCAAAGCTTGAACAGAGTCGGATAGATTTTCCAAAGTTCAGTTGCAAGAACAAGAACAAATCTCTTTCATTTTTCTCCTCTAAACAAGTGCAAACATCTACTACATAAGCAAACTCGGGTCCATAAATGTGACAAGCAGATGCTGCTTTATAAGTTGGGAGCCGCAAATCACCTGTAGCAAATTGGAATGGACACATAGGTCATTATCAGTGCTCAACAAAAAAACAAAAGAGAAAAAAAAGTAAAACTTTTTTCTTATACATTAAACGATCTCTCAGAAAAATAAGAAACAATCCCAGTACCATTCCCCAAAAATTCTCATTCTCATCTTCATATCCAAAACAAAACTATTTTGAAAAATATTACCAAACGGGCCGAAAGAATCTTTGCCATTTTACACACAAAATTTTAGCCTTTTTATTCCCCAAATAATTAGGTACCGTGAAAATTTTATCTCTAACCTTTTGTTTCAAAAATTGATTCTTTGACTTTTTTTTGACAATATTGGCTTTGACAATAAGTTGAAAAGAAAATTTAAAAATTTAATGAACTTGAAATTTTATAAAAATAGTTGCATAAGGAAAACGTTATCATAAATGTCCATGAAAACACTTGAAAATAATAAACGTTATCATAAATGGCCATTTTACACACAAATGTTTGTTTTGATAGATTTTCAAGTTTTTTGCACGATGACACAGGACTGCCTCCATTAAATTTCAAAAATCTGTTATCAATTTTATCGTCAAGGACAAAACCTGCCCAATAATAATAATAATAATTTCAGGGACTAATTGGTTAAAAAAGGTTCACGCACACTGTCACTTCTTAAAAAGTTTAAGGACCAGTATGCACTTTTTCTTTGGATGCATTTTACTGTCCTGCCCAACCTTGACGGACTAAAAAAGACCAGAACTGAAACATAATAGAAAGTAGAAAACTGCAAAATTGTCACTTGTTTTTTTTTTTTTTTGTTGTTGAATTGTTTCTAAGTTACCTGCAGTAATCTCCGATGCGAGTGTGTTGCGACTAAAGTGACGTGTCAACCACCATTTACAGCGCAGTCTCCAATTGTTTCTAGATTTACCCTCTTTAAATATTTTGGGGATCTCACTGAAAGAAACTGAACACCTTCTTTCGAGTCCACTTTCATTGCCATTTTGACAACATGACATTCGGTCCTCTACATGCTCTGAAAGTTTCAAGAAACATGAAGCAAACTCTCTCCATGTATTATGCTCTGCATAAGTAGCATCAAGATGTAAAGCTATCATCTCCACTAGAGAATCACAATTATACTCCCCTGGAAATACATTGAAAGAAGGCGATTAGAAAAATGCATTAGCTTTAAGCATAAAAGCTTGCTTCTGAACAAATAAATGCACAACAAATAACTGCCAACTATTTCAAGATCTTATTGGAGATCTATGATAACAAATGTACATGCATTATTTTATTTTTTTTATTTTTATTTTTTTTTATATCCAGAAATCCCCGAAACTCATTTTTTGAGCCTGAGTATGAAACTAGAGCCTTCCGTCAACCCTACAACAGTTTTGTGCTATTATTTGTTATCAAAATACACGTACATGTATTTTGTTAAAATAATAACACAAAAGTGAAATAATTCGTACGACAGATCATAAAAAAAGTATATATATTTACATTAGATGAAAGGAGATATACGGGTCAATTCAGAAGAACTAAAACATACAAAAAGAAAATATCACAGTACAAAAATCAAAGAGAGAGGGTTGCTAAACCCGTTAAACAGAAGTAGCTCCGAAACCAGAAAATGTTGCATCTTGAGCAACTAGACAAATTTCCCCATTGAATATAGACATAAAAATGTGATAGCACAAGATATACGACAGATTATCAAGAAAAAATATGAAAATGGAAATAGCAAATGGATGGCCTATCAGCATCTTTCTCTTTCAAATGAGCTATTATTGAAATTTCAATGTCGCAAGAAATAACATTTTTTGACTAGAAAACGAAAACTAAATATGCTACATAGAACTGCAATCATGATCAACCTCATATGAAGAACAAAAATTACACAGATAGACCCAAAATCAATGACCCTCTAAATCGTGCATCAGACAGAGTATGACAATGGTTTAGGAGATTTTTTGCAACAAAAAAAATAGAAGCTGCTTTAGTGTTTGAGGGTGATAAGCTGAGTAAGTCAGTAATAGCATAAAGACGAGCTTGAAAGAATTAAGTTTCACAAAATGCAAGAGAAATTGTTTCACCAAGATCATATACTCTCAATTTTCAGATAGAAGAAGTACCATTTTGATGCATGGATACAAGCTTTCCCAATGAATGGCAACAAGTAGGATCCTTCTTTAAGATATCTTCATAACAGGTGGAAAGTATGGCATTGTTTCTACGATCAAAATGCTCCAAAAGACTAGCTCTTAATCTGCACCATATGTAAATATCAGCAATAAACTGGTTGACACGAAAGGAAAACCTCATTGCTCACAAAATGCTAAAAAGCCATAGAAGTTTAGGAAAATAGGTTGCAAGTAATAATGAATAAAAATAGTTTGAACTAAACGTCAACAAACTGCCATTAAAAATAACAGCGGTCATGGAATTAGCAGCAAACTGTCAGAAGGCACTCAAAGTAGCTAATACAAATAGTGTCTATCTCACAGGCTGCTGCACACTATAAGAATTGAACTTGAACAAAACCAGTTCAAATAAAATGAACAATACTCCAAGGAAGATTGCAGTAGCATCAAATGAGCCAGGATATTTTTATTTAGATCCCCATATTATTTACTAATTATTCAACCAATCTTTCCATCTATAGGAGCACATCAACCGTTATCATTCTTTCATTTTGAAGTCCAAATCTACGAGGGAGCCCAATTTTTTCTTTTGATATAGGGAACCGAGACACAAGATAAGGGACGATCAAAGGTCCACATAACAAGAAGAGAATTTATATTATCTTACACTAAATGAAACAAATGAATAACAAAAACTCCTAAATTCCCTTGCAGTATGGAGTATGGACTCATATGGAATTCAGCCCAAATCTTAGTTTCAATTCTTGAAAATTTTATCTTCGGTTGTCAAATTTCTTTTCACATTGAATGAAAATGGACTTCCCTAACCTTACCCATGACCCTCCAAGGGCCAAATAGCACCACCACCCCAATATTACCTACACTACTTATCCCACCAAACTTCAACCTACACCAGCATTACTGCAATTACCCTACCTAGCATGTTATCCTCCGCTACGCCTTATACCATGCTTTCTAGAATAATTGTACAAACACAAACTTACTTTCCTGAGCAAAGAAATTACTCCTATTTTTTCTTAGCCATTAGTAAAAACACGGAAACAAATTCAGTACCGGATAGGAAGTGTGGTGTTTGAATTACAGCAGAATTTAAGGAGCTCATTTAGGGCCTCATCAACTTGACCTCCGACAAGCAACAACTGTCACAGAAAGCCACAAAAATTTTATAAGAAAGTAGTCATAATATTCGGCCTTAGCATCTGCGTTAAATCTAAAGAAGTGACCAAAATTATGCACATCGATTTCACAAAACCATGAAAAGAGCTCATGAGAGAGGACATGTGTGATTAATTCTGTTTAAGCAGTAATTAGATAATGCACCACTATCTTGAGAATATCTATTAACATGCTAACATAGTGAAAGAGAGAAAAAATGTAGACATAAATTTTACATAAATGTAAACATACATTTTAGTTCTCAAGATAAATGGGCACCTGTATCAAAGGAAGTAAGGCCGCCAATATCGGTGGAGTCGAGCAAAGAGCAAGTCTTAGGTACTTAACTGCCTCTTTGTAATAGTCGTTAAACAATTCCTTATCCAAATGCAAAAAATCCTTGGGATTCTCAAAAGATCGTGGCAACCGTACAGGCAATAAACATGGGTTCAATCCTTCTGGAAACAGAAGAAAGAATCTTGGAAAACTTTCTACATTCTCAAACAGAGAGAGAGAGAGAGAGAGAGGATATTGTACCAAGAAATGCTAACAGAATCTACGGGTTAAAGAAATAGTTATTTGTTGGTCAATTAATTCAAAGATCAGCTTCCAGTAGACTAGCAGTTTTATGTTCTAACAAGTGCTTCAACCTCATTTAAGCTTAAAAATACGTATCATAGTTCTAGCCATCAACAACAGTTTTGTATTGTCATGACATGAGTGTGAGAGTAGACGAAAAGAACTACTTATGGTGCTCTAAAACTATTGTAATGATCAAGATTTCTCATCTAAACACCATTCAGAATAAGCCAAATTTTATTTGCCAACTAACAAACTTCTGAAATTTCAGATATCACACAGGCAGATTCATTACTTATGGTGCTCTAAAACTATTGTAATGATCAAGATTTCTCATCTAAAAACCATTCAGAATAAGCCAAATTTTATTTGCCAACTAACAAACTTCTGAAATTTCAGATATCACACAGGCAGATTCATTTTTTTTTCCTTTTTGGGTAAGAAACAAACATGAAATTCATTAATAAAAAAGGAAAAAATAGAATGCACAAATAAAGAAGGGCAAGGAGACCTTGCAAAAAACAACTGAAAAATAATAATTGTTGTGATCACCTAAACATCACAACTACACATCTACATGACTTATTTAGAGAACTAGGCCACGTTTCCTTCAAGCTCAAATTCATATAATAAGTAGGAGTTTTTGTTCTTTCGTTCTCTTTAAATTAATTTCTGCCAAATAAGTCATTGAATTTGTGCCAAGTAAATGAATAAATAAAAGGAAAAGAAAAAAACCTTGTAGACAGAAATCAACCATATGAAAGTCTAAAATACAATAATACTTCTCAGGGAATAAAAATGGCAAGGAAATTCTATACTCACCAAGAGCTGAGAAATTTAGAGGGTACTGAAATTGAACACCGTGATTAGATAGAGACAGATTATTTCCTGTATCTTCATTAGAATTAGCATAGAATCCTTGGGGCTGAAAGTTCTGTGGAGGGTTTTCTATCTCGATCATCCTATTAATAACTCTCACAGAATTTTCTCTGTGTAATCTGCCATCAGACCCCGTAGATGATATTTGCTCCTTGATAGAGGAGTCTGAATTATGGGGATAGTCTGTAACGGCTTCTTGAGAGTTAGTGTTATCATTTGTTTGCCGAGGGACAGCAACTTCTTCTGAGTCTGTCAACAGCATTTCTTTTGGGACATTGGAATACCAAAACTGGTAGAATGTAAGTCCTACAACCATACATGAGACTGGGTCTCTAACAAATTCATTTTCTTGAATGAGGCTGAAAAATACCAAAAACATAACAAGAATCCATTATTTTGATATGATTTGTTGTTGAAAAATTACATTCCACGCATAAGAACACAAAAGAAAGGAATAAAATCAACTGAACAACACAGTAACAAAGGGCTAAAAGAAGAAGATGAAGAACTTGCTTCAACATCGTGGAACTACCCTCTAAAAGAGGAATGAGAATCATACCTTAGAGCAGCCTGATGAGCATCCTCAAAATTCTCTTCTGTAAGACAGAACAGGATGAACTCCAAATGAACCACAAATTTATCCTGCTCAAAACAAAAATTCCATGTCGAATACGTAAACTGATTAGAGCGAAGGTGCAAATACGATTGATTGGCATGGAACAGTTATTGAATTTTGATTCAAGCTTGACTAGGATGAATTCAGGAATCTATGTAATGATTAAGGAGAAATTTATTTTGCAACTTCAATTTATTTATAACTCTATTAACACAGTAAATAAAAGGACAATTACTTCAATTTATTTATTTTGAAATTGGAGACCAACTACTTGCTAACGTTTTCACACAACCAAATAGAATTAGAATCACATAATCTTTTGAAATTTTGACCAATTATTTTAGGACGCAAATGTTTCCTTACTTTTCTCCCTACTTGCTAACGTTCCCAGCATTACTTGACAACTAAATTCGTTCGTCAAGCGTAAAATTTGAGCATTCCCACGGATGGTTAAATGCAAAAATGAGTCAGGGACTAGGAGCTTGTTTGGTAGGAGGGAAAAGTGGAAGGAAGGATCGGGGTGAGAAGATTAGTCGAAGGATTTTGGGACTTGCAGTTGTTTGGAAAGAGGGAATAGATTAGGTGAGGGATTCAAAGAGCCAATTTTAATCTCTCCCAATAATGAAGGAATAGAGGAGGGAATCCATACCAAACACTATAAGAGAAAGGTCATCTCCTTTATCTCCATTTTCCTCACCTAAGTTATATACCTTTCTTTTGTTCCTATTTTCTTTCCTTCCCATCAAATTAAGGTTAGCATAGAACAACTGCACCTTCTAGATACATACCTCGACTAGCCGTCCTTTCGGCATTCCAATCTTTCTCATCCAAACATCGTAAATGTTTTTTATCCTAGTGGCAGTAAAATGTTCAGCTCTTACATGTGCAAGGACCTCCATCAATGCCTAACAACAAACGCAACCCAATCAATTACCATAATTTCCAGACAAAAAAATCAACATAAACGAGGGACTTTCTCTGGTAGGCTAGATTAAAAATTCACATCAGATTAAAAAAGTATGCAAAATAGACAATTTTGATAATATTTTGACGGCTGAAAGGTAGTAGTATGCAGAATAAAAAGTTTCTGATACCGACCTGGCGACACTTTTTCTATCCTACTCAGAAACTCCCCATAAAGGCATAAACAAACCAAATGTAATAAAAAGAATGCTACACAACATTACCGTATACTTGAAGCGATTGTTGGGCAGTGACTTGTCTTTGCCAGTCCCTTTCAACAACACACTCAGCACGCCACTTGCTTCAGCCCAGTTTTGCTGCCTCAGGAGCCGGCGCAAAAGACGGTTCAACCGAGCACGGTTCTCAGCCCTCAAGGGCTTGGAACCAAGGCCGAGGGCATAGGATGGCTTGGTCAACGACAAAACAATGCGACTTGTTGGATTACCAACCTGACCATCATTGATCATTGTCACCGACTTTCTCTTGACGTTGTGTCGTTCGATTGAATAATTAGCAATGACATGATCGTCTTGCTGGAAATTTGGAGTTTGACCCCCAATCATCGTTTTACGCCCAAAAGCTTTATAATCCCTTCATTCTTACAATCTCGGCGGGAATCGCGAGAAAGAGAAGAGCTTCTGCAATGGCGGTAGTTTGGGTTTCTAGTTAGTCAATGAAGTTGCGTAATTTTGTGGGAATAAAAATTGTTAGTCAAATTGCAATTGCTGTGTTCTAGGCAAGGATGAAAAGCTGTGAATCTTTCGATTCAAATCAAATACACTAGTTGAAAGACCTTCCTTCCCAGTTGCTTGATAATATTGGCACGAATTTGGATTAAAAAAATATATATATATATATACACACACACACACACAAATATATACTTACATTTGCTCTTGCTCAGTTCTGTACTGTTTTCACTTTTTGACGCTGAGAGATATCTGATTGTGCAGTCCACGCCGGGGAGGCGGTGAGGGAAAGAAACAATAGAGACGGAAATTGATTGTGCAGTGCAGCAGAGAAGATGAACAAGATACGTGGAATTGTGAGCGAGGCTCGCATCAACAGACTTCGAATCGAGAGAGAAAACTAGATCCGTGGCTTTGCGACTTCGGACTTCGAACATCGAAGAGCTGCTCGACACCGGCGGCGCGAATTTCTCAGGTCCGACGGAGAAGCACTGCAGCCATGGCGAGCGACTCGATTCTGATGCCGACAGCGGAGCTGAGCGTTGATTCGCTGCCTAGTCTAATTCTCTTACGATCTGCAAGACACAAAGCCAATGGTGAAATATGTTTACCTAAAGAGCCCGTTGCCAGAGAAGGAGATTGTCGTGGCGGCGGCGACCTGCGGAAGTGCGACGGCGACTTGCAGAACAATGGCGGAAGTGACCTCCAAAGCAATGGCGGATGTGCAGCGTGGAGCCCTAAGCAACGAAGAGCAAGCCCAGGCCAAAATGGACCCATTTCAAATCAATGAGCCCAGCCCACTATTTGACTCAACTCAAGTGTATGAGCCCAATAAGCGATCCCCTTACACGCCCAACATTTGTACCAAATTTAATTCTCACCAGAGGCCTATGTTATTGTTACCCAAAGGTAAATCCACTACTCTTGTAGATATGATGAAATTTGTTTCTGAGTGGTTTGATTTTGAAGAAAGTAATGATGCTTCTTGCGTCACATTGGGAGTTGGAATTGTTAATTGTGGGGATATTATTCAAGAAAATTCTATTAATGATTTTGATGTGGACAAAATTGAAAATTTAGACGAGCAAATTGGTCTTGAAATTGAATCCCAAGGTGAACCAAAAATTCAATCAGAGGAACAAAATTGAAATTATTAATTGTGGGAACTTTGACGAAGAGCTTGTGGATCATTTTAATGTGGATAAAATTAAAGGAGAAGGTGAAGAAATTGATTTCATAAGGTTGTTGAAATTCTAAATGGGCTAATTAAGGGTGTCAATTTTATTGGTCGATTGGTTGGTAGGATGGGAGTTGGATTTGAGGAATTCAAGATTAAGGGAGTGAGGCAATGTTATCGGTGCGTATTTTTGGTATTTTTCGCATTCCGTTAGAGCATTGTTTTGATTTCGTTATAGCTTTGGGATGTGTTATGGAAAAGCTACTCAATCAGAGTCTATCATTCTTATAAACCGAAGAGGGCTCGTTTTCACTAGTGGTTTTGCTTGCTACATCATGTTCATCTTCCATGTGATCCTATCGAGCTCGAGGTCGAGTTCTTTTCAAAGAAGGGGTGAACTGATGTAGAAAGAATAATAGCATCAGTATATTAGTTTAGTAATTTTGCGAAAAGTCTTAATGTCTAGTTTAATTGTCATTTCTTTTACTTTTATGTCGTTTGGCGTAGTTGGTATTCTGTTATTGTTTTTATATGTGAGCTATAAATAGCCATAATACCTATTGTAATAGTAAGACTTGAATATTTTGATAATTGAATTAAGGTTGAGTTTCCTCTCTAATTAGGAGATTTTCCCCTTTTTGGAGTTCTTTTAGGTGGATTTAGAAATTTTTCATTCGAATTAGACCGGTAAAACATCATCCTATCCATTCCGCTGCGTCACTTTATTAACTATCTTTGGACATAATTTGCAATAAAGTTTTATGCACATTTATACTAGTAATTGTGTGTATATAATTATACATTATTGTTTGTAAGATAATAAGTTTAATAGTCAAGTATTTATACTTGAATTATATATAAAACGTTTGTATGAAAAATATATATAATTAAAGTATAATAGTTCACAACCAGAAACCAACTTTGGACCATTACGTCTTTTTCTTTACTTTATTTTAATTTTATCTTTTTACATTGCTCAAAATAGAGATTTAGTAATTGGTTTTTTTTTTTTTTTTTAAAAAACAACTTAAATAGGGATGATTTAGGGTCCGTTTGGTTAGAGGGATGAAGAGAGTTAAATGGATGGATAATAGGAAGGAGAGATAGTATTATATTAATCTTTCATGTTTTTTAGTAGGAGGCTGAGAGTTAAAAAGATTTATTTATAAAATTACTATATTGTCCGTTTAAATTATTTGTTAATAGTTTGTTTTGAGAATAAAATAGTCTTTTAGATGTAAAAGTTTATAGATTCTATGAATCTTCTCATAAATGGAAGGATTCAATTTTGTGGACCTAAGAGGATGA